GATGGCTATCCACCTCTGATTGCGGCCACGGAACGACAGCTCCCGAGGGTCACTCTCTGTACTGTAGCTCAACTAAGCAGTAACTACTCAATGGTCCTTCGCCAATACCAACACCGGCTCGACCCGTCCACACCCGACTGCTGTCCCGACTGCGGCGTTTCTCCGCATGACTTTCAGCATCTGTTCGCCTGAAGCTCCCGGCCAGGCACCCAGCTCACCCTCGTGGACCTTTGGCTCAAGCTGGTGGAAGTCTTGGCTTTTTTCCGTCTTCAACTATTATTAATTTGGATTCCGGCGGGGACTCCTGATCCAACAATGGGCTACAACACACAGAAACGTATTCCTATTTTGGTCTCCAGCTATTTTACATGATCATCCAAATCACTCTTTTCCGGGTGGTGGTGGTGGTCTCTGCCGTTCAGAGTGGACTGGCTGATAACGCTAAGAACCTAGAAGTGGTTATTCCGGCCCCCGTCGTCTTTTTCGGTTTCAATTCATCACAGAGAAATCTCTTCCGGGCATTTGTGAACTGGGCATGCGTGGCTAGAAATAAGGGCTGAATTTGCGCTAACTTCAGCCTTCATGATTGGTTAACGGAGCGCCAATCAGCGAGCAAAATTTGTCATCGGACCGAGGAAGAGACAGCAGCAGCAACAACACGTGTCGTGTCCTCTTTGAGGTCAAGCGGGCATGCCGTCGGCATGCGACCGACTCCGGTGACATGGGTTGCAAATTGGGACAGGAGGAGGAGGAGGAGGAGGAGGAGGAGGAGGAGGAGAAGGATGCTAGCGACAGACAGATGGCTATCTCCACTGGCGTGTTTCGTGGTCTGTGCTGGCCGCGTCGCCAGAACCAAAGAGCAGTCTCCTCTTTTATGTCACACAGGAGTGGTGCCCGCGCAGATAGCCTGCTAATGGAAAAGGGAAAACACTGTCTGTACAACTTTGGGACTCCAGAGCGAGCGTTCTTGTAAGTGGCCGAGGAACAACTACTAATGGACAGATCTACTACCTAGAAAGAGCTGATAGTCTGGCGTAGTCAGTTCTTGCGTAAGCGTATAACTGTAGGTGCAAGAGGTCAGCAATACCACTGGTGGCACATGCAAAGTTAAGCCTCGTGTGATGCAGACATCTTGTTTTGCAGGAGATAGTTTAAAAATTCCCAATTCGTACGACAAAAAAACAAAATTCGATTAAGGCAGAATAAGTCTGGTCGTGCAGCGGGACGAGTTGGTTACTTTTTGGGCTTTTGAACTCGCACAAGTGTCCGATCGGGTGTAGTTTTCAGTGAACTATCGCTTCGAATTATTTTTTTAGATGAATATTAGCACCGAACTGAAAAATCTTGTCCCAGAAACACGTCGTCAGTTTTTGATGTATCGGTCAATTAATTTCTAGGTGGGAATTTGTCCGCTGGACGCAGCGTTGGTCACCACTACATCTGGAGAACACTCACCCCCGCGGACTTTTGGCTCAAGCCGGTCGAGGTCTCGGCTTTTCTCCATCTTCAAACTACAACCAGTTTGGATTCCGGCGGGGACTCCTGATCCAACAATGGGCTACGACACACACACACACCTCTTGTGAACAAGTTTGATCCGTGCATGGTACGTCCTTGTGGAGAATGTGGATGCCGCTGGCAGGGTGGTTTTACTTTGGCTGAAGCCTTACTGCGGAAAGTGGTGCGGAGGTATGCGCGCCTTCCCAGGGGACTAGCGGCGTGTGCAAGCGTTCGGATAAGTTAGGGACGTGCCCAGCTCCCCCCCCC